ATATTTTTTATTTTTATTCTTTTTCTATTTATTTTTATTTAAATATTTTTATATTAATAAAAAAAAAATTATAAAATAAAAATTAAAAAAAATTATATTTGATACCAAAATTAAAAAAAAATCAAAATAATAAAGAATTTTTTATTTAGAAAAAAAAAGAAAATAAATAAAAAATTAAATAATATCATGATATTACTAAATAAAATAGTTTTATTTAAAATGGTAAAAATAATTATTTGACTGGGGATATATCTTTTGTTTCAAATTTACCGAGTTTGTATTTATCGAATTCAATTTCGACTTCTCCAATAACCTCCAGATCTTCAATAGTAGGTGGTACCACATATTCTTCATCTATATTATTGAAATTCCATATAAAAATAGAAAATGAAAGGATTATTATTTAAATTTTAAAAAAAAAAAAAAAAAAAAAAAAAAATATTTTTAAAAAACTAAATTAGAATACATACTGTTGAAAATTTTTCTTAAAACATTTCTTAATATTTTTCCACTTCTAGTTTTGGGTAAACGATTTAATGGAATAACCTTTTTAAAAGTTGCAAATGGTCCTAATGTATCTCTTACCATTTTAATTAATTCTTGTTCAATCTCCTCAAAATCATTTTTAAATTGAGGTTTTAATACTACCAATCCTATTGGTATTTCTCCTTTTAATTCGTCACGTGCTCCAATAACTGCACACTCCACTATTTTAGGATGTGTAATTATAATTTCATCAATTGAACCCGTTGATAAACGATGGCCACTTACATTGATAATATCATCAATACGACTAATTATATGATAGTAACCATTTCTATCGACATAACATGAGTCTCCTGTACGTAAATAACCGGGATACTCATCTAAATAGCTTTTTTTATAACCTTCATTGTTGAGATATAAGGTGTTTATAAAACCTGGTGGAACTGGTAAACGAATACATAGTTCTCCAATTTCATCTGAACTTGTAGGTTCTTGTTTTGAATTTAAAACTGCTAAGCTATACCCTGGAACTGCTTTGCCAGTTGAATTTACTTTAATTGGTACTTGTTCTGATGGATATGTAAGTATGGGCCACCCTGATTCTGTTTGCCAATAGTTGTCAATGATTGGTTTTTTTGTTTTTATGCTAAGAAAATTGTATGTTGCTGTATCTAAACGTTCGCCTGCAAGCCAAATATTTTTTAAAGAAGATAAATCGTATTTTGATATTAAATTTCCTTCACTGTCATCTCTGTGGATAGCCCTCATTGCAGTTGGTGCTGAAAAAAGAGAATTTACCTTATGCTTCTCTATTAATTTCCAATAAATACCTGCATCTGGAATATAAGGTTTACCTTCAAATATAATTGATGTTAATCCAACAAATAATGGTGCATATACTGATAATGTATGACCTGCAGTCCAACCAATATCACTTGCCGAAAAAAAAGTTTCGCCCGGTTTCATTCCATAACAATTTCTCATTGCATAATTTAAGCCTACAGTATGGCCTCCTGTGTCTCTTAGTATTCCTTTGGGCATTCCAGTAGTACCACTTGTGTATATAATATACAATGGGAATGTGCTATCTACAGGTGTATATTCTCTAAGTGGCTGAAGATCTTTTGTAAATTCGTACCAATCAATTGCTCCACACATGATTGGACAAGCTGGTTCAGTTTTAATATCTTTTCTATTATATACAATAACATGGTTTGGTTTATGTGATGATAGTTCCAATGCATTCTCTACTAGAGGTGTGTAGCTGTTGACTTTATGACCTTCAATACCAAAATTACAAGATATTACTACTTTAGGTTTACAGTGTTCTATACGTTGTGCTAGCTGTGGTGATGCAAAACCACCAAATACTACACTGTGGATCGCAGCAATACGAGCACATGCCAACATTGCAATAACAGTTTGATTAACCATTGGCATATAAATTATTACACGATCTCCTTTTTCAACACCCAAGTTTTGTAGACCTCTTGCTAATAAACAAACTTCATCCCACAATTGCTCGTATGTTAACTTGTTTGTATTATCTCTTGCAGGAGTTTCATGAATTAAAGCAACTCTATCTTTAAACTCTGGATTCTTTACATGAACATCCAATGCATTATAACATGCATTTAATAAACCACCTTTAAACCATTCTGGATTACATTTATCACCACTATATGCTTTTGTATATTTTTTATCCCTATTTTATTAATTAATAAATATTAACACATTTAAATTAAAAAATTTATATTATGATTTAAATAAAAAAATAAAAAAAGAATACATACCAATGCACATACTTTGTTGCTACTTCATCAAAAAAATGTTCTTGATCCTCTAATGAATACTCTAAATCATTTTTATAATTAAAAGGTTCGCTTAATTGAAACTTTTTTTTTATCATTTTTTTTATTTTATATTTTTATATTTTTATATTTTTTTGTGTAAGTTTAGTTTTTAGAAAATAAAATAAAAAATTTATATTTAAAATAAGAAAATAAAAAAAAAATTAATTATTTTAAAATATAATTTTTTTTTTTTTTAAAACAAAAAATAAAAGGTTTGTATCAATTAAATTACTAATAGAATTATTATATTTCTTAATATAAATTTACTATTGTTAAATCTACAGATTAAAAAAAGATAATAACATTCCATTATGTATTATTAAACTGTTAAAAAAAACAGATAGTTTATTTTTTGTGTTTTATTTGTGGGGGTATTTTTTGTGGGTGTCTTTTTTTTTTTGGTATTTTTTTTTTCTATTTGATTTAAATATAAGGTATTATTGAGGATTTAATTTAATCTAAATAGATTCTTTAAATTTTTTTTAATTTTACCAGATTTTATATTGGGTATTTTTTTAAATATATTTTTTAAATTCTTTTTTAATTTCTACTAAAACTGTGCAATCTTCTATGGTTGGAGGGGGTGTGTAATCTTCGCCTATCAGTAAAGTTAATATTAATATAATTATTTTATTTTATTATAGAGATTATATATAGCTATTATAACATACCATTATACATTTTTCTTAAGATATTTCTTAATATTTTTCCACTTCTTGTTTTGGGTATACAATTAACTGATATAATATTTTTAAAAGTTGCAATAGGCCCTATTGAATTTCTAATTTCTTTAATTAATTCTTTCTCTACCTCTAAATAGTCATCTTTAAATTGTGGCTTGAGAACAACCACTCCAAATGGAACTTCACCTTTTAATTCATCTTTTATACCAAAACATGCGCATTCAACAACCTTGGGATGTTTGATAATAATTTCTTCAAAAGAACCTGTCGATAAACGGTGACCACATACATTAATAACATCATCAACTCTATTCTTGATATGATAGTAACCTTCTTTATCTTTAAATCCATAATCACCAGTACGTAAAAAACCTGGGTATTGTTCTAAATAGCCCCTTTTATAACCTTCATCATTGAGATATAAAGTATTTGTAAAGCCTGGTGGTAATGGTAATTTAATACAAACTTCGCCCATTTCATTTGCTTTTACTGGTTTTGATTTGGAATTTAAAACAAACAAATTGTATCCTGGAACATTTTTACCTGTTGCATTTTGTTTTATTTTAATTTGAGCAGATGGATTTGTTATTATGGGCCACCCTGCTTCAGTTTGCCAATAGTTATCTAGAACAGGTTTTTTTGTTGCATTATATAGATAATTGAATGAAGCAGTATCTAGACGTTCACCACCTAGCCATAATGATTTTAATGATGACAAATCATATTTAGATATTATTTTGCTGTCTGAATCCTCTCTATAAACGGTTCTTATCGCAGTTGGTGCTGAAAAAAAAGAATCTACCCTATGCTTTTCTATTAATTTCCAATAAATACCTGCATCTGGAATAGTTGGTTTACCTTCAAATATAATAGATGTTAATCCAGAATATAAAGGACCATATACTGATAATGTATGACCTGCAGTCCAACCAATATCACTTGTTGCAAAGAAAGTTTCGCCCGGTTTCATTCCATAGCAATTTCTCATTGCATAATTAAGTCCTACTACATTACCACCAGTTTGTCTTATAATTCCTTTTGGCATTCCAGTAGTACCACTAGTGTATAAAATATACAATGGATGGGTGCTATCTACAGGTGTATATTCTCTAAGTGGAGCTAAACCTTTTGTAAAGCTATACCAGTCAATAGTTTTTGAAATTTTTGGAGACTCTACATCTAGTTTAATATCTTTTCTATTATATACAATAACACGATTTGGTTTATGTGATGATAGTTCCAATGCATTCTCTACTAGAGGTGTGTAGCTGTTGACTTTGTGACCTTCAATACCAAAATTACAAGATATTACTACTTTAGGTTTACAGTGTTCTATACGTTGTGCTAGCTGAGGTGATGCAAAACCACCAAATACTACACTATGGATTGCAGCAATACGAGCACATGCCAACATTGCAATCACAGTTTGATTAACCATTGGCATATAAATTATAACACGATCTCCTTTTTCAACACCCAAGTTTTGTAGACCTCTTGCTAATAAACAAACTTCATCCCACAATTGCTCGTATGTTAACTTGTTTGTATTATCTCTTGCAGGAGTTTCATGAATTAAAGCAACTCTATCTTTAAACTCTGGATTCTTTACATGAACATCCAATGCATTATAACATGCATTTAATAAACCACCTTTAAACCATTCTGGATTACATTTATCACCACTATATGCTTTTGTATATTTTTTATCCCTATATTATTTATTAAATATTAACACATTTAAATTAAAAAATTAAAAAAATTGAAAAAAAAAATAAAAAAATAAAAAAAAAATAAAAATAAAAAGATGTGCACTACCATTTTACAAATTTATTAGATACATCATTCCAAAATGAAGCAGGTTCTTTAATTGAATATTTAAAATCTTTTTCATAGTTAAATGGATCACTTAATTTAAATTTTGATGAGAAATAACGATATAATAATTTTTTTGTATTAAACATTTTTTACATATTAACCAATAATATTTTTTTTATGAATTTATTTATACTTTTTAAAAACTAAAGAAAAAAAAAAAAAAAAAAAAGATTAATAAAAAATTAAACTAAAAAAAAAACAGTTGACTTTTTTTTTTAAATTTTTACCCCAATTTTTATATTTTTCCTATTATAATTTTAAAAAATCTAATTATAAATCTTCTAATTTTGATTTGTAACCCATTTATTATGAAATATAAAGATAAACAAAAGATATATTATCATATTAATAATTAAAAAATAAATAAATAAGGTAAAAGATTAAGTAATAAATTTATTACTTAATTAAAAAAAAATTATATAATCTAAGGTAGTTTTTTTATTGTTAAAGTTTAAAGAGATTTTATTTCCAATATTTAAAAAAAATCATAAAATAATTTATAAAATTATCTTTTTATAACGCAATCTTTTTTTTTAGGTGAAGATATATAAAGAAAATGCCTTAAAATAATCAGAAAATTTTATTTAATTTTTCATTTTATTTCTTTAAAGAAAATACAATATACTTTATTAACAAAGGAGCAGAGAATCAATTCAGAGAATCAATATTTTAAATATAATGGGTTAGTTAAAAAAATATTTTGAAAAAAAAAAAAAAAATAGTTTTAAATATGGTAAAATAAAAAAGAAATTAAATAGTTTTTTGGGAATTTTTTTTTTTTCTTTATTAAATAATTATATTGTTTATCTATATAAAAAAATATAATTAATTGTATTTATTTTTTAATGTAACTCCATGGATAGATATTTATGATCGATTATAATATGTTTGCTAACTAATTGATCTATTTGATTTGTGGTCTACTAGTAGTAAAAATAACTCTTATATCTTTGAAAAGTGGCTGGAGAAGAGCAAAAACCAACAAGCATGTGTTAATTGTTTTAAGGTTTAATCTTTAGTTCCACATACATCTAAAATTCCATTCTATACTTAACACACAATAAATTTAATAACAGTAATTTAAATTATATAGAAAAAAAAAAAAAAAAAAAATTATAATGACAATAACATTTACATATTTAATTATTTGATTTAAATAATAAAAATTATAAAAATATTTAAAATTTAAAAAAATAATTTTCAAAAAAAATGCTATTATCTATTTTTTCATCACCTGGAAGATAAAATCAACCTAAAGATTTGCGCATGCTGGGAATCGAACCCAGTTCGCATCCGTGGCAGGGATGCATCATACCACTAGACCACATGCGCTAGTTATTGAAGATTGTTCAAAAATTGTTTTTTACAAAATGTAACTTCAAAAATAAAATTATAAATTCTTTTAAAAATAAACTAATACATTATGGAGCTTAAAAAAAGAAAAGATTCGGTTGATAAATTATTAAATTTTAATTTTAGAAATTTTAAATTCTAGAAATTGATAAAAATTATAACATTAATCTTTTATTTTTATTTTTTATTTTAAATTTTATTTGTTATTTATGTGAAAACTGATACATCAACATAATACTCTGCATTAAAAAAGCTAACATTCTCGTCAAAGAGATTTGATTCACAAAACATTTCCAAAGGATATTCGATTAAAACACCTCGAACTTGAGAAAGCTGTACTATTTTTTCATCTGATTTTGGTATCCAACGTCTTTGTTCTATACCCAAACGTCTTTGATTTTCTATAATATAATCACCAAATACTTCCTTATAAATAATTGAATTATCTCTAGCTGTTTTCCTCCAAACATTAATAAATGCATTATCTGATATTGGATCAATGATTGAACTAATTTCTAAACTATTTAGGTTCATATGGGTTTTCCAAAGTCCGACTCTGAGTGTATGTGGGAATTTATTTACTTTAAATGGCTTTCCATCCATTGTTATTAATAATTTTGATGTATCTGAAACAACAACAGCCAATTCTGAATCACGAGATCCCATCATACTTCTATCGTTGATATTGCAACTTCCAATAACAGCAATACGGTCATCGACAATTAATACTTTACTATGTACATATATCTGCTCTGTAAAAATTCTGTCACCATTTTCCTCCCACTGTCTAATAGAGTTAAACGATAAATACTGATTAAGGTCTACATCTGGGAATTCATCACGAAGTAATTCTAAAATAGACTGGCCTCCTTGGCAAATGGTTCTATTGGTCCAACCTATAATCATTCTTGAAGATGCTAAAGCTATATCACCAGATGGACTAATTGGTACCATAACAATGACCCTAAACTTTTGTTTTGCATTAATTGCTCTTCTAACACGATTTAAAATTGCCAATGCTATACGATTCTTTGGCAAATTCGAACCACAACTTGAAATGAAAAAGAGATTTTGGATATATATAAAATGTTGAGAGTTTTTGATTAAACTAATATAAGCTTTGTAACAAGAATCCTCAACATCCGAACCTGCGCTCCATGGTGATACTGATCTAACTAATTGAACGATACAATGTTCAGAACTACTATTATTTGAATTATAAATTGATTTAATTAAATTTTCGTCTTTTAAATTGATAACTGGGGTATTTGGTTGTTCGAATTCCTCTTCCTCCTCTTCTCTAAGTTTTTGGGCCAAATTCATTGGTTTTCTTTTTGATGAAGAACCAGCATCCCCTGGTTTATTATGTGGTATTTTACTATTATAATAATCTTCCTCCTCTTCTTCATCAATAAGTTCCTCTTGTTCTTTTTCACTTAAAGTAGTTGGTGTTTTTTTAAATTTATATTGATTTTCTTTTTTATCATAATATTCATTTGGGCTTGGGTCTAATTCTTCCATTTGCTTTTTAAATTTATTTTTATCTGGTTTGTTCTCGATCTTTTCATCATTATGACTGAGTGCCGATACCCTCGATAATTGTCTAATCTTTGGATTATCACCTGCTCTATTTATAATATTTTCTTTTTCTCTTCCATAAGATACATGAGAAAAACCTTTTTTAATATTTGAAACAATATTCCTCCATTTATCTGGTTTAGTGACCTCTTCTTCGGTTACATAATCCTTTGGAATTAAAATAGGTTGGAATCTATTTGAGCGTTGAGAATAAAGTGCATGGTTCCAACGTTGTATAAAATTACTGGCGGCATCTTTAGCGGCAGAACCAACAATTTTAGTATGAACATCATGCCAAGGCATTCTTGGGCACTCTTTTCTATTAAACTGATCTTTATTGGGATCTCCTGTTCTAACTACCACACCGGTTAAGTTACCAAAATCCTTTCCTGGATATCTCTGGCCATTGTCGTCGGTTAATTGAAATCTACTAGTGTCATATCTCATCAGACATATATCAATACCTCCTACAAAAGCAATTTGTTGATCAATTACAGCACTTTTTTGATGATGGCTCCATGATAAGGGGTATCTCTTGGGATGTCTAATTACATGAATATTTGAATGGCATCCTTCTAACCAATGTTTACCATGTCTGCTACCCAACTGCACACCCAAATTAGTCTCGTTCCACATTAGTACATATACTTTGACACCTTCTTTAGCTTTTTCGGTTAAAATTCTATCCAATCTTGACTTTTCCATATATTCCTTACCATTATCTCTTTCTAGGTATACATATGGACTAACCCACCAACCAGTAATGAAGATTTCGTGTTTAGCCCCTCTTATTGCCTCTGCCAATGCTCCATAATAATCACAACCATTTATAAACCACTGACATCTAACATCCTCCCTAACTTTTGCAAACGATTGGAATCTATAGCCATGTCTTGATGAAAATCTTATTGCATTTATCCAGTTCAATGCATCTTCTCTGTTCTCCATTAAAAAAAATCGATTGTAACTACCTTTGGTTATTCTAAATCCATAATAACTATTGTACTTTTTATTGAGGAATTTTCTTCTACGTTGATCAGAACCCAAAACAACTTTAACTGTTGAACCAGGTAAAAAAATAACCTTTGATGGTTTTTCTTCGTCATGTTTTAAAGCCTTCTTTTTATAAACTATTAAAAATCCATCTTTTATTGATAACTTTCTTCTATGTGATATATTGAAATTGAAAATAGTTCTGGGTATAATTTTAGTTAATTTACCTTTTAAATTAACATCTCTATCTTTGAACTAATATAAAAATGATATTAATTAGAATAAAATAAAAATAAAAAAAAAAATCTATAGACTTACCAATAAATCTAATGGCATTATAAATTTAAGATAAAAATAATCAAACATTCCAAAACATTTGGCAAGATCTGGATTTAACTCACCCCTTTGCAAAAACTCCTTTAATGATAATTCATTTTTACTGTGCAAATATTGACCTCTACTTGTTAAATCACTTGAAAAAACTGCATCAACTACCTCTGATGGACTACCAAATCTATCCTTTGAAAAACCAAACTTGTTAAAAATTTCTGAAATTATACTAACTGTAGAATAAACTTCTTCTTTAGATACTAAAGAATCATTATTGAAATCACAAATTTCAAAAGTAACTAAATTCAAAACCATTAAATTAATATTTTTTTTATTTTAAATTTAAAAAATTAAAGTGTACTTACATCTTAATCTTTCATTTTTTTGACCTCTACACATAATGGATAATGCTTGAACAAATTCATGAAATTGTATTTTTTGGTCACAGTTTCTATCTATTGCATTCATTAGTGTCACTGTGAGCTCTGAACTTTCTGAAAATGGTGTAAAAAAATCTATAAACTGTTGTTTTGTCATTATTAATTTACTGTCTGAATGTTTTCTAAACTCTCTATAGAGAAGATGCAACTCATCTCTATCAACTGTATTTTTTTAAAATAATTTTAATTTTAATTTTATTAGTATTTTTACAATAAAATAATTTAATATAAAAAAAATAATTCTTACAATATGTATTTAGGCTTAATTCATCTTCTAATTGAATAGGAAACTCACTAGATGGTTTATAATTTTTTAGATACTCTCTTGCCTCTTTTTCTTCTTGTTTTGAAATTTGTTCAATTTCTTCTTTTGATAAATTTGTTACCTTATTGTCTTTAATATTGTGTTGTAATATTTTCAAATCCTGAATATTTCCTCCAACCATTATCGGAACTGCAGATTCATTATTAACTTGATCATTTACATCAATATCTTCATTTCTTTCTATTGCATCTGTATCTTTTGGAATTTGAAAGTTTTCATCATTCAGATTTTTTTTTTTACCAATTAGATCCTCTTTATTTGAGGTCACTTCTTCAGTTTTTTGGTTAGGAAATTCTGTTGAGATATTTCTTTCCATTTTCTATTATCAATATTATTATTATTATTACTAAGTTTTGTTTATGTTTATGTTTAAAAAATTATAAAAATTATTAAAAAAAAATTAAAAAAAATTAAACCTGTTTTAATAATTTAAAATTATTTTAATAAATTAATTATTGTGAAAAAAATTTTATAAAAAATAAAAATAAAAAAAAAAATAATATTTTTTTAAATGTTTTTGTTTAAATTAAACATAAATTATTATAATTAACTATAACTATTTCTTATTAAAAGGTTTAATAATCTTTAATTAATCAACAGAAATAATTGAAATAAAAATAAAAAATAAAAAAATAAAAAGAGTAAAACGAAAAACAAATTAGAAAAATTATTTATTAATAATTCATTTTTTTGGTATGTCTAAAAATTTCTAAATACGATAAATTAATAGGACAGAAATATCAGATATACAATGCCATAAATTTTTTAATAAAAAATAATCTATGAAAAAAAAAAAAATATTGTATGGGGGTGGGGTAAGAGTGTGTAATAAATTGTGAGTGTGTTAGTGAATTGTTTTTATTAAATATAATAATGTGTTTCACTATCTATTGATTTATATGTTTAGTTGTATTGTATGTAGTGGGAGGGTATAATTATTAAAAAATAAAAGTATTGTGCCAATGTGATATTTCTCTTATTTTTTATTATTATTATTATATTTTGGAAAAAAAAAAAAATATGGATTGTGTAAACAAAAATTTTATTTATTAAAATATTTACAGTTAAATTTAAACTTTTATATTTAAACCATTCTTTTCATTAGGTATTATTATTTATTATTATTTATTATTTATTATTATTTTTTACAATAGTTGATATTATTTAATCATCCTCTTCATCGCTACTATAACATGAAACTAAAGATGATAATGAATTAGATGCTGCTGGTTTTGGTTGAAGTGTTGGTGGTGGCTGTGGTGCTGCTTCCTGCTTCTTTATTACAACCTTTACCTTACTGCCTAAAAGTGAAGATTTTTGTGTTTGGTTTGATGTTGAGGTTTCAACTTTATTATTTTTATTATTGTCATTAAATAAGCTATTAAATTTATCATCAGTTGTATCGATTTTTTTAATAGTTTTATTATTATGAATTTCTTCATCCTCTGAATCGGAATGTATTGTTGAAGTATTATTATTGTGGAATATAGATTGAACTAATTTTTCATCCTCCTCATCCTGTAATCTTTCTTGTTCCTCTTGTTTTTGTAAATTATATTCTAATAATTGCTCGTGATCGATTTCGTTTGCCCTTGCATTCATTGCTTTAAGTTCTTCTAAAGCATCCATCATTTCCATTTCTTTTTTCGATTCGATGGTCCTATTTTCGAGAGCCTTCATTGCATCCTGTTCCTCTTCTTGCTCTTTAGTTAACCTAGATTCTTTTTCTTCGTTTGTCTCCTTCCATGGTTCATAATTTCTAGTTGCACCACTTTCACAAACATACTCTGAATTCTTTGGGTCAGTTCTAATTGTTAACTCTGCTGCGCACTTTTTACAACGAATAAAGAATCTGTATATTTTAATACCTAAATAATCTTGGCCTTGGACTGTCTCTTTTTTTGCATTAAATTTTGTACCTCTTCCCAAATATTCACCACATGTATTACATCTAATACTCATCGGTAACATTGTAGTTACTTTTGTATATGCTGCTTTTTTAACTTTGATTTTTGGTACCTTGCTTGGGTCAAAGTCTGGTGGATAATATTTAGAAATAACTTTACGCTCACCCATTTTATAAATATACTATTAATATAATAAATATATAAATACACACTAGTTTATTTTTATAAAAAATTAAAAAAATAAAAAAAATGAAAAAATAAAAAAAATAAAAAATATAAAAATAAAAATAAAAATAAAATAAAAAAATAATTATTTTTTTAATTGAAGAATTTTTAATTGAGGAATTTTTTTGAGTATAATATGTACACGATAAGTTTATTATTATTATTATTATTAATTTATCTTTTTTAAAATTATTATTATAATTATTCGAAAATGGTAATGATTTACTAAAATAATATTATTTATCTTTTTTTTATGTATATCGTTTTTTTATTTATTCTAACCAAAAATTATAAGAAATACTATAACAACTGCATTAATAAAGGCTAAAGGAACTGTATTATAAATAGAAATAGATTAATATTAAATTATATCAATATATCCTTATTAATATTAAAAATGTATATATTACTTCTAAAAAAGAATCTTAAATTATGTAATAATGAAACAACTTTTCCTTTAAATGATTGAAGATCCATATTTTCACCATTGACACCCCATCCAACTTTTAAAAAAAAATAAATTAGTAACTTATATCATTATTAATAATATTATAATAATCTTAAAATACTTTTATTTAAAAATCTTTCATTTAAAACAGCAAATGAATTTACAATTAAAAGACATGCTTGAAAGAATTTAATAAGTGAAAACATTCTGTTTATTTATAAAAAAGTAAAAGGAATTATAAATTAAAAAAAAATTAAAAAATAAAAAAATAAAAAAAAAGACAAATTTTTTAAAAAAATTTAAAAAAAAAAAAAAAAAAATATAATTTTTTAAAAATAATTCAAGTGGTTGTGTCATAATGGTTTAATTAATTAAATGAAGAAGAGTAATATGCAATAAACAATAAAAAAAAATATTTGAATCTAAGATTATAATTAATTTAAATTTTCAAAAGACTTTTTTATTTTTTATTTTAAACAATGATCAAAAAGCAAACTAATTAAGGTTTAAATTTTTTTTAAAATCTGAATTTAAATCCTCTGGATCAAAGAAAGTGATTGGAATTACAAGTGGTAAATTGGTATTATTATTGTGATTTGGATTTTCATTAAAGTTATCACAATTATCAACTTTGGATAAATCTATTTTAGAATTATCTTTTTGTTCATTGATGGCTTCTGATTCATATGGTGGGGTTGCGAGTGCTATATCTTTTCTTTTATTTAGAACATTTAATAAATAAATAAATGGTTTTTCCTTATTGAAATTACTTTGTGTTGAAATATCATAATAACTTAATCCCCTTTTTCTATGAAAAATAATTGAGCTTGGACCAACTTTACGGTTTGGATCCTCTGTTTTACTGCCGCATAAAACCACCGGGATACCTGGTACGACTCTTGACAAAGTATCATACCAACCGGCAACACTTCTATATGTTTGTCTATCAGTTACATCAAACATTATAATAGCACAATCTGCGCCAATTCTATTTTAAATAAATATATATTTTAATATTTTTTTAAATTAATAAATAAATTTATAATATACTTACAAAAATCCATCAACTATACCTACCATTTTGGGATCCCCACTTATATCCCAACATTGAAAACCTACTTTACCAATACTAGTATGAAAATCTATGTCTTTAACTGTAACACCAATTGTTTCTACGAAAAATAATATTTAAATAAAATATTTACGAATATAGCTTTTCATAAACTCACCAGTTATGAATGAATCTATATATACCGTTTTGCCCACAGCCTTATCGCCAACAATAACTACTTTATAACTTTTCATTTTGTGTAATATTACAATCCAGGTTAAAAAAAATTTATTTTTATTACTTTTTTTTTTTTTTACAAATTTTTTTTTTTTATTATCACTTTTTTTTAGAAAAAAAGAAATAAAAAGAAAAAATGATATTTTAAGAAGCAGCGCAAATTTGTAAGATATAAAAAAATTTTTATTTCAAAATTAATATGAAGAAAAAAAAAAAAAAAAAAAACTCATAGATAAAAACAATATTACTTTTAACTTAAATAAAAATTTACAGTTTTTTATTACTTAAAAAAATATTAATTGGGCTACTGCAATATTATTATTTTTTTTAACGATAATTATGTTAATTAATTTTTTATTTTATTTTATTTATTTTCATAATCACTATCTGGTGATAATTTAATTAAAATTCTCTTATGATAATCTAATAATGATTGAGCTGTAGCGGATTCACCTGAGGATTCTAATTGTTTAATTAAATCATCCATAACAACACTTTCTTTAAAGATTTGGAGTGAATGAACGAGGGTTCTTTCAGCAGCTAGTTTTAATGGTAAGTTGGTTCTTTCTTTTAATCTGTTCATAGTTGGAATAACAATTTCTTTGAGGTATTGTCTTGAGAGTGATGGGTTGGCTTTACAGAATCTCTTGATTACTTGGAGTGAGGTGATGGCGACTGATGATGATTGATCACCAACAAGATGACAAAGTGATGGAACTAAATCTTTTGAGAATGATGGTGAAGCAGTTAAAATAGCTTCAGCAAGATAAGCCGATGATTCTCTAATTGGACCTTTTTCATCTCTGCAATCAGTTTGGACAATTTTAACAATAGTTGGCATATTTGGGCTGTTATTTTCAATTAATTGAGGACCTGATGCTTTAAAGATTTCACCTAATGCTAATGATTTACCATATCTTGAGAGTACTGATTGTGATGGGGAAATTAAATTTGTTTTGATAAATTGATTGAGGTCATTTAAGTTACTGAAACATTTGGATGATGCACCAATAGTTTGAGCAACCATGGCTCTTAAATCATCAGATGGTTGATAGAGGAAATCTACAATAGTTGTAATAGCTTTATCGAGAGTAGCTTGTTCAATCTTTGGTTTCTTATCGAAAATGGATTGGAGAGCTCTAAGTTTAGATTCTTGTGAGATTGAATCGGCAGTACCAATACCAAGGATTAAAGAGTTAACCAATTGGTCGACTGATGGAGATAATGTCATTAAGAGACCTAAAGCAGAAGCAGCATTGGTTCTAACGGTTTTATTTTGATCAGAAAGACATTTGATAAATGTTGGTTGTAATTGATGAAGGAAAATCTTCATGGAAGCTGGTGATTTACTAATTAAAAGTGAGAGGGTTTGAAGAATTGATGATTTAACTTGGTATGGGAATTTATCACCAATAACTAAAATTAATGGACCAGTGATTTGCATAACAAATGGTTTAAGTGCTTCAGCAGTAGTATGATTGATAACAGTTCTAATATTATTAGTAGCTTGTTCTCTTTGATCGCTTGTACCATACATAAGACCAGAAATTAAAACTGGTAAAACTGAGCCTAAACCCTTTGGAAGACAGAAACCTGGAATGTTAGCAGTTTCTTCGTAAACATCGTTTACCAATGCTTGAATACCTCTTTGGAATGTGAGTAAATATGAAAGATTATCTTTTTTGAGTGATTTAGTAATAACACCTAAAGCATTGTTTGAAGCTTGTTGAACACCAACATCTGGATCGTTGAATAATGAAAGGAGTGAAAGAATTAATTCTTCTGGATATTCACCAACATTAGTGTTACCGTTATAAAATTCACCAACTAATTCGCATGCACCCAAACGGATATTTGGTAATCTAACTTCAGTTTGTTCAATTAATAATGGGATTAAAGTATCATAACCTTCTTCATCTACACTCTTACAAATTGAAACGGCAGCTTCTTTAATTTCTTTAGCATTGGCGACATTTGGATTAGTGAATGATTCAATTAATGATGGAATAATAGTTGAGAGATGATTGTAAAGACCTTCACCTGCATCAGCAGCTAATGATGAAAGAGCACGAACATTGGATGTTGAAATTGGTCTGCTTAAAAGTTTTGGAACTAAAACTGGTAAAACAATATTACTTTTAACGAGTATAACTTGACGAAGACCATCGAGGGCATTAGCAGAAGCTTGGGCTGATGGACTATCCAAAAGTTGGATAAGTTGTGGTAAAATCTCGTTACTTGCTTTATTACCGAAATTGTGATAGAGATGATCGAAAGCTTTAGCAGCAGCTTCTCTAACATCAATTAAATTATCACAAAGAGCTTTAGTGATACATGATACAACACTAGAGAGATATGGAAGTAATTGAGTTTTAGCAGATGAAATAACTTCACTGAGACCAATGCAAACACCTTGTCTAGTCTCTTCAAGATCTGATTGAAGACCACGTTCGAGAATTGGTAAAATTTCTGGGAGAATTCTATCACTGAGTTTACTGACGATATCACCAAGAGTTTTGGCAGAAATTTGTCTCTTTTCAACGTTGGATGAGCCAATTGAACCAATGATCATTTCAATAAGAGTTGATAAAATTTCACGAAGAGTCTTTGGAGTGTTGCTGACAATATATTTCCAGATTAATAATACCTTTTGACGAACTGATGAATTGTTATCAAATCTCATCATGTATAATGATGAAAGAATACGATCGAGTCTTTCTTTTCCTAAAATCTTGTAAATATCATTGCTATGATTTTCATTGGCATCATCATCGAAATTATTATTTTGAACATCAGCAGCGGTGGTACCAGCCAATTTGAATAAAAGATCACCAAATAATTGAACACATGAAAGACGAATTCTCCAGTTTTCGTGGAATAATACTTTTTCGAGAGCTGGAATAATAACTTCGACACCATTAGTTGCGAATTGACTGACAATAGATTGACCACATCTCATACAAACTTCTCTAACTGGATCAGAGTCATCTGCAAGACCTTTTAATACTTGTGGTAAAACTTTTGGAAGGTATGGTAAGAAATTATCACCTAATGAGATTGGAGTGAAAATGAAGATTGATAAAATACCCTCACGAACATGTGGACGTGTTGAATTAGCCATAGTTAATAATTCATGAATTAATGAATTGAATCTTGAAATGTCTAATGAAGCTAAAACTTCAGATAAACCTTGAGCGGCACCGCTTCTTTCAACAGCACCAGCATCTGATTTAACGGTTTCTAATAACCATGGGATTAATGAAGCAAAGTTTTCTTCACCCATACCACGAACTAATAAACCTAAAGCACGAGCACAAATAGCTCTAACCTCTGGAATTGGATCTAATAATACATTTTTCATTACTGGCATTAAAATATTTAAATATGGTACTAATTCTTTTGGTTCGGTTAATGAACATAAATTACCAACGATTTGACATGACATTTTCTTTAATTCTGAGCTTCTTTCTTTGAGAGTTCTTTCAAGAATTGGCATAATGAGTGAAAGTGAAGCTGGATCGATAGTGTGAACATAATTGGTATTTAAGAGGTTAACTAATAACTCTCTAGAGTGAATTTCTGGGTCATCATAGGTTTTGAGTAAAAGTGGAACGTGGACTTGGATTTCTGGATTTCTAATTACTGAACCAATGTGGGAAAGAGCTTCTTTGGCAGCCTCTTGAACTTTAGTATGTGTATCATTTAATACATTGGTGAGCTTTGGTACAATGGTTGGGAGACAAGTTGAAAGTTGTTTTGGAGCACAGAAAGCCATGGCACCTAAAAGTTCAATTGAACCTTCTTTAGTTCTCCATGAACGATCATCAAGAGCTTTCAAGAGAGCTGGTAAAACAATTTTAACACCATGACCTGATAATTGTGACATAATAGCTTTGGCGGTATCAGCAGTGGCATCTCTAACCTCACTAACATTATCACCAAAACAAACTAAAAGTTTTGGAAGAATATGAATGACATATGGTTCGAAAACACGACCAATGGTATTGCAAAGACATTCAAAGGCAAAAAGGGCACCTTGTCTTGAGGTTGGATGTTTCTTATCTTCAATACAGGATTGAAGGGAATCTAAAATACCAAGATTCTTTAATGAACTGATACCAAGACCCTTAACAGTACCGGCTAAACCAAATGCAGCACCTCTACGACCAGCATAATTATTGGATGATGATTTTAAGTTTTCTATAAGGATTGGAACTAATCTACTGCCTTGTTCTTTGAAGCTAGAAATTAATTGAGAAATGCATTTTGAAACACTGACTTGGACATTCTCTGATGGAGTTGAAAGAGCAATGACCAATTTATCAATGATAGATGTGAAACTTGCACTCTTTGGATCCATATGTTTAGCCAAAGCACCCATAAATACAACAACATTAGCACGAATTGAATCTTCAGAGGGATCATCTGGACGAGCTAAGAAATTTTCAAATGTATCTAAAAGCTCTTTAGAGAATTTGGTGCCTTGTTGGGAAATAATAGAAAGACCAGTTGAAACAAACTCTGAAACAATTTCTTCTTTTGGATCAAAAAGACCTTTTTCGATAATTCTGTCAAAGAGTGATTTTAATACCTTTGGTTCTTCAGTTGAATTACCTAAACCTGCAAGAGCTGATGCAACTGAAATTCTATTTTTGGTTGTAATTGGTGTGTCTCTAATTTCATCTGGATAATTAACTTGATAAGTTTCAAAGAGTGAATCGATTATTTCTGGAATTAATTGTTTGTGGTTTGAAGCGGCACTCTTTATGGCAAGAGTATTAATCTTTCTAGTTTCAGAGTTTACGTTAAAGGTTGAATCGTGGAGCATTTTCATAAAATTATCTGGGAGTGAAGCTGGTTGGTTTGTAGCTAACCAAATTTTATCGGCAAGTGCAGCTGTTGATGATTCGCTGTCAAATTTAACAAACCAAAGTTTGCCAATATATTTTTCGTCCCAAACAAAATCTGGTGAATAGATGGATGGGATCTTTTCAATAGCTTGAAGACAAATTGAACGAACTTGTGAATGTGGTGAGATGACACCTTCCATTAATTCAGAGATATCAGCAGTATCAAGACCTTCGATTAATTGGAAAATAGAAGTACGAGCATTATTCTCCAAACGAGAGTTGGTACTAACTACAATAATTAAACTTGAAATCATTGCACCTCTTGGGTAAGATTGACTTTGAGCAGTGTGTTTTTGAACGATATCCATTGATAACTCTTGGATTGTAAATGAAATGGTCTTTTCTAAACCATTTTTAACGATTGGCCAGAAATAGTTAAAGCCGAAACCACCAAAAGCTTCTTTGTGGGTTGTTTCTTTAAGATAAGTTAAAATCTTTTGAGTGAAACCAAGGATTTGAATTTCTGAAAGAGTTGATTTATAAAGAAGGTTGTTAAGAACAAAGAGATAATGACGTGCAAATGAACGGTCAATCTTGTAACGGTGTGGAATGCAAATAACAAGTTTTTCAAGAGTTTCGGTGACCTTTTCATTTGCAAGATCTTTCTTGAATAAGAGATAAAGTGAGATGAGAACTGATGACATAAATTCGCCAACAAATGCTGGGTTTGATCTAACCATAGTATAGCAAGTATCAATAGCAATGTGAAGAATATCAATGATATCTTGTACATCCTTACGAATAACGGCTTGAGCGGCTAATTGTTTTTGTTTTTCTTTTTCAAGTCTTTCTAACTCACCAGATTGTTGTTTCTTCTTTTCTTCTCTCTTTTCGTCACGCTTTTCATCTTCAGTCTTAACTTTGACCTTTTTATCACTTCTACTTTCATAACCCTTTTCTTCTTTTTCGACATAGAGTTCGGTTGGTGGAGTGTTGTAGATAATCCATTGATGGTCGGTAATAGCTTCAATTGGTTGATAGCTTAATGATTTATTTAAACATTTGACAATGGCTTCATTCATTCTTGGAACATTGTAACTAACCAAATTATTAATTGCTGATTGGAATGCAACTTGATAGCTTTTGTTTTTCTTTTGATTTAAACCTTTTTCGAACAAGTATTCAGAGATTTCTGTAGCATTTTCTGAAAGGATTGAATTTAAGTTGTGTTGGGTTAATGACATTACCTTTTTCCATGAATAATTAACAAATGGGTGATATGCAACTAAACAAACCATTGGATAAATTGATGTTGGAATATTTTTAGATAAAACTGATTTGAAGGCCAATGAATAATTTTTACCAGTACTGGTTGAAACGGATTCAGAACTATTATTTAATGATTGAGAAGCAGCAGAATCATCATAAAGAATTTGTGAAAATTCATTAAAGAGAACTTTTGAAAGAGATGGGAATTCCTTTTCAGATTCGTTATCAGCTAAAATTGCTCTAATTTTTTTTGAGGCATCCCTTTGTACACTCCATTGACTGTGAAGTAATAATGAGATAATAGATTGATAGAGTGGTGATTTTTCGTTAATTTTAACTGATGGGAAGTGTTTAACACTCTTGAAAAGGTTAACCAAAAGGTTGATGGCATGATCTTTCTTTTGAGTTCTTTGAAGGAAACCAGCTTGATGAACAAATGATGTGTTGGAATAGAATAATGTACAGAAATTCTTATCGCCAGTATATTTTGAATCGAATGGTTTAGTACAAGCTAAAGCTAACATGAATTGGACGGAAGCGCAAGTAGTTGATGGGTCGCAAGTCTTTGGATTCTTTACAGCTTTAATAATGTTATTAATAGTTTCGGTGAAACCATTAATTTGGGTACATTTCTTTGATGATCCATTTGCAGCAAATCCTAATGATTTTGATAAAGATAAAATTACTTGACCTTTGATTATTTCGTCGTCATTCTTTAAACTATTTGTTAAAATTTTAATAGTTTGATCTGATAACTCTTCGACATTAACTAAAACTTTGCCTAATAATTTAAAACCTTTTAATCTATTATCTTTATTTACTGTAAAAAATGAAAAATTTTAAAAAGAAAAGAAAATAAAAAAATATTAATATGAATTATAATCAGATTAAATAATTTTAGATATTTCATGATACAAACATTCTTTTTCTAAATAAACTGAAACTAATTGTAAAAGAGATTTTGATAATTGTAATTTATCGGCATTTGAAATATTTTTAACAAAATTTTCTTGGGAATAAATTGAGGAGATTGAAGAGATAGCATTTAATTTTTGATTTGGATTACCTGCAGCTGAAAGTAATTTAGCCAAGTCATCAATGATAATGGATGAGAGTACTTTGGTATCACTTGATTTTGATGCAATAGTTGAAAAGGTCTTTTTGATTAATTGTCTTTCGGTACTGGTTTGAACTACTGGAATCAACATTGGGACTAATAATGGCTTCAATAAGGTTGATAAATCAATTTTGGCATTTTCTAAAATGAATGAAAGAATCTTAAAGACTTGCTCTTGGTCTCTTTTAATATGTCTTGATAATGGTGGTAGAATAACACTCTTGAAATCTTCAACCTCTAATTGATTGAATAATTTCTTGAATATTCTGTGATCTTCAAGTTTTTGTTGTTGCATTGAAATGACTGTTTTGTTATATAAATTTAATAAATCGGTTCTATTAAATTGTGGTGAGGATTTTGATGAAACATTTTGAAGTGAAAAATAAATAATATAAAAAATTTTATTTGATGATTCTTTGGTTACTAAATTTTGGTAAAATGAAAATACTTTATTGTTCTATATATTTATAAAATGAATAGTATAAAAGTATTAGTATCATAAATGATAGTATAATATGGTTTAAAATACAATAACTTACCATTAAAATTAAATTAAATAATTGTTGATTATTTTTAATTTGCTTTAAAGTTAAATCACGGTAAATAATATCTTGAGCTGCTGATAACAAGGTAGCAAGGTCTTGTTGTTCTTGGAATCTATCGATAAAACTGTGAAGTAAAACTAAAGTAAAAGACATCAATGTGTTTTGTGGGAGGTATTTGATTCTTTTATTGGTTGATAATGGTTTTGCTAATTTTCCAATTTCTTTAAGGGTGGATTTACAGAAATTTACTTGTAATTCTTTTCTGGTGTCTTTGAGTTGATCAGCAATTTCTTTACAAAGATTTTTGAATGAGTTTACCAAACTGAAAATCCATTGTGATTCAGAGTGTTGTGAAAAACTTGAGAAATACAAGAAAACTAAAATTTTAATTCTGGCTTCTTGTTCTTCAATTTGTTGATCTGATGAGTCAGTGACTAAACAGGTAACTTCATCTCTAACTAATGAATTGATTCTATTTAATGTTTGAATTCTTTCATTTAACTTATTAGATTGAATTAATTTTTCTAACTCTTTAATTTCATTATTAAACTTTTCTTCCTTGTTTATTGTTGGGGTTGTGGATTCTGGGGTTGAACTTTCTTGATTTTTCTCCTCGTTCATTTTTAATTTCTTTTGATAATTTTATACTAAGGTGGAATATATACGAAGTATGGGGATGGGAAAGGGATTATTTAACTAATCGTCGTTTTCTTTTATTTTCTTGATTTATAAACCTTATTCTATTAATATTACAATTCTTTTAAAAAAAGTAACAATAATAAAATAAATATGATATGTATGAATTTATAAATTTACAAAAATAAAAAAAATTTAAAATATATATGATCGTTACGATTTAAAAACCGATTATATATATATATTTATGTTTAATTATTATATATTTAATATTGTATATGGGGGTGTGTGTTGTTGATCAAACAATTATGTTTTATAAAAAATACATACAAAACTCGAAAATAACAACAATGAATTTTAATTAAAAAATTATTGATGGTTTTTTTTATGAGAAATGGTGATTGTTTGTTTGTGTGTGTGTGTGAGTATGTGTGATATGTGTATGTGTGTAAGTATAGTGTGGATTTAAAATTTAACTATAAATTTTAATCGAGATTAACAAAATTAATAAACTTAACTTCAACAACACTTTTGTTTAAAAAAAAAAAAAAAAAAAAAATACGAGAAGGAAAAAAACTAAAAAAAATTCAAAAAAAATTCAAAAAAATAAAATAAAAAAAATAAAAAAAAAAATAAAAAAATAATATAATATGTTTTTGAGAAAAAACCATTAATTTTTATTTGTTTTATTATTATTAATTATTTAACAAAATAAAAAACACAAAATTAAAAAAAAATAAAAAATCAACATATTTGTTTAATATATTCAATTATTATAACATAAACTAAAAAAGAATTGTTTAAAAACCTATAAAAACATAATTTATTTCTTTTTTTTATCAATTATTTTTATAGTCACATTTTTTGAAAAATAAGAACACATAAATAAATTAAAATAAATAAAATCAAAATTGGAAAAACTTTAACCACCCTTATAAAGTAATCGATACGTTAATTATAACACATATTATAATTAATTTTTAAAAAATAGTTTTTTTTTTTTTTTTTAAAATTTTTTTTTTAAAAAAACTTTTTATTTTTTTTATTTTTTTTATTTTATTTTTTTTTTTTTTCATTCATTTCAATTTCAATTTTATTTATTTATTTATTTAACTTTTAAATATAATAATATATATATTAATAATTATAATTTTATAAATATCTTGTAGAATAGTTATAGAATAGTTTAAAATAATATTATATTTTTTAGGAAAAAAAAAAACGAAAGGAAAATAAAGAAAAATGGATGTTAATCAAATTAGAAAAACTTTTATTGAGTTCTTTGTAAATAAAGCTGAGCATACATTTGTACCATCATCAGCTGTCATCCCACATGATGACCCAACATTATTATTTGCAAATGCTGGTATGAATCAATTTAAACCAATTTTTTTAGGTCAAGTTAATCCAAAATCAGAACAAGCTAAACTTAAAAGAGCAGTCAACAGCCAAAAATGTATTCGTGCTGGTGGTAAACACAACGATTTAGATGATGTCGGTAAAGATACATATCATCACACTTTCTTTGAAATGTTAGGTAATTGGTCATTTGGTAATTATTTCAAGAAGGAAGCTATTTCATGGGCTTGGGAATTATTAACTGAAGTATATGGTTTAGACAAAGAACGTTTATATGTTACCTATTTCCGTGGTGATCCAGAAAAAGGTTTAGAACCAGATAACGAAGCTAAAAATCTTTGGTTACAATATCTTCCAGAAGAACGTGTTTTACCATTCGGTATGAAAGAAAACTTTTGGGAAATGGGTGACCAAGGTCCATGTGGTCCATGCTCCGAAATTCATTATGACAAAGTACCAGGCCGTAACGGTGCTCCATTTGTAAATGCTGATGATCCAACTCTTATCGAAATTTGGAATTTGGTTTTCATTCAATTCAATCGTGAAGCCGATAAATCATTAAGACCATTACCAAATAAACACGTCGATACTGGTATGGGTTTAGAACGTTTAACCTCAATCATTCAAAAAGTACCAACCAATTACGACACTGATGTCTTTAAACCAATCTTTGAAGCTATCCAAGAAGTTACTGGTTACCCAGAACCATACGGAGGAAAAGTAGGTGCTGAAGATTCACAACAAGTCGATATGGCCTATCGTGTTATTGCTGATCACATTCGTACTCTCAGTTTTTCAATTGCTGATGGTGCTGCTCCATCAGTCGATGGTAGAGGTCAAGTACTTCGTAGAATTCTTCGTCGTGCTGTTCGTTATGGTAAACAAAAACTCAATGCTCCAGCAGGCTTTTTCTCAAAATTAGTTGATGTTGTTGTTCAAAACTTTGGTGAATTTTATCCAGAACTCAGAAAGAAACCAGAACACATCAGAATGGTTCTTACTCGTGAAGAAGATATGTTTAATAAGACTCTCGAAAAAGGTATTCAAGAATTCGAAAAGATGATTAAAAAAACTACCGATGGTGTCCTCTCTGCTCCAAATGCTTATTTCCTTTCAACTGTTTGTGGTTTCCCAATCGATTTAACTACAATTATGGCCGAAGAAAAGGGTCTCAAAGTAGATATTCAAGGTTTTGAAAAATTATGTGAAGCCCAATCAGAAATCGATCGTAAACGTCAAAAAGAAAAGAAAACTGAATTAACTCTTGGTGCCGAAGCCAATGCCTGGTTAAAGAACAACAATATTAAAATTACCGATGACTCATTCAAATATCAACAAAAAGAAGTTCAAACTACTGTTAAAGCCATCTGGAATGGTAAAGAGTTTGTTGACACTGTACCAAAGGGTCAATTATGTGGTATTGTTTTAGAATCAACCAATTTCTATCCAGAACAAGGTGGTCAAATTTATGATGTTGGTCAATTATCTTTTGTTGATGATCAAAAGACTGCTTTCGATGTTAAAGACTGTAAAGTATTTGGTGGTTATGTTCTTCATATTGGTTATTTATCATACGAATGCACCGAACTCAAAGTTGGCGATAAAGTTGAAAGTACTGTCGATTACACTCGTCGTTCACCAATTATGTCAAATCACACTAGCACCCACATGGTCAATTATGCACTCAAGAGTGTTTTAGGTGAAGGTATTGAACAACGTGGTTCATTTGTCGATGCTTCACGTTTCAGATTCGATTTTTCATTTGGTAGAGCAGTCACTAAAGACGAATTAGCTAAAATCGATCAAATTGTTAACGATTTAATCTTTAAACAATTAAATGTTTATGCTCAAGAAGTTCCATTAGCCAAAGCTAAAACTATTAACGGTCTTCGTGCTGTATTTGGTGAAGTTTATCCAGATCCAGTTAGAGTTGTATCAGTCGGTGTACCAGTTGACCAATTAATCGAAAATCCAACCAATGCTGAATGGGCCAACTACTCAATCGAATTCTGTGGTGGTACACATTTAACCAACACTAAACAAGCTGAACTTTTCACCATTATCTCTGAAGAAACTCTTGGTGCTGGTGTTAGACGTATTGTTGCTGTCACTGGTTCAGAAGCCACAGCTGCTCATGAATTAAATAAAGAACTCGAGCTTAGATTTAACAAAGCTCTTAAACTCACTGGTTCAGAACTTTCAAAAGAAATTGTTGCTTTACTCGAAACCTTAAAATCTTCATGTATTTCACAAGCTGTTCGTTACAATTTAGTTGAAGCCATGAAAGAACTCCAATCCATTCAAAGAGTACTTGCTAAAGAAGTTGAAAATCTTCAAATTTTAGAATCATCAAAAATTACCGAAAGAATTATTCAAGAATTAACTTCAAAACCATCAGAATTATATGTTGATTTAGTTAATTTAGGTTCAAATACTACTGTAATCACCGACACAATTAAAAAGATTCAAGCTAAATCAAATCAAACTGCAGTTATGTTAATTAGTCCAGATGAAGAAAAAGGTAAAGTTACCTGCATTGGTATCGTTCCAAAAGATTCACCAATTTCAAAATCAGTTGCTGCTAATGTTTGGGTCTCAAAGGTTACCGAAGTTTTAGGTGGTAAAGGTGGTGGTAAAGCTGAAGTTGCTCAAGGTGTTGGTTCAAAACTTGATAAAATCGATGAAGCTATCCTTGTTGCCAGAGATTTTGCAAAATAAAATTATAGTATCAATTATTTTAAACATATATAATATATATATATAAATAAATAAATAAAAAATAAAAAAAATATTAAAATAGTATTTCAACGTTTATTTATGATTTTTATTCAAATAATTAAAAAAAGATATAGGGATATTTATAAGGATACTTTTTTTGATTCTCTTTTTAATTTTTTTTTTAAGAGCTGATGAATTATTTCTTATATAAATATTTTTATAATTTATTTACAAATGACCTCTATCACATTATCTTAATTATTATTTTTAAAAAATCAAATTAACATAATCTTTTCTTATTTTTATTTTTTTTTTTTTATTTTTTTTTTTATATTTCAATAATTTATATTTTTTTATTTTTTAATTAATCAAAAATAACACACCCAATACACAAATTAACACAAATAATTTTCTACAAAACTATATATAAATCATGAAACAAAAATAATATTATATAGTAATAATTTATTCAATTTCTATTTGATATTTGATTGTCATTAAAATTAAATAAAAAAAAAAAAAACAATACAATGTGGTTGAAGTTCATACTTTTATTATAATTCTTATTATAAAATTGATAATGTATATGACACATTTCAATGACATATAAAAAATGATATAAATACAAATTTTTTTAAAAAAAAAAAAAAAAAAAACTCAATTTTTAAAAATTTTATAATAAAATAAACATTGTTTTATATAAAGTTAATATAACAACTTTTTTTTTTTAATTTTTTTTAATTTTTAAACAGACCCACACAAAAAAATATTAATTAATAAAAAAAAAAAATTCTTTTTTAATTAAATAAAAAATCATAATTTTATTTGTATATAGTTTCACATAGTTTATAATATCAAAAAAAAGTTTTAAATAATAGCAATTATATTTCACATTCCATAATAACTTTCATTTTTTTATATTCACTCATTAATTAAAAAAATGTTAGAATCAATTTTATTTGCTATTTTTATTTGGTCATTAATAATTTTAAAAATTATTTTCCGTTCCACCCCACAAGAAACCCAAACCAATAACTTCACCCAAACCAATAACCACACCCACACCAATAACCAAACCCACATCAACAACGAAACCCAAACAAACAATAACACACACACCAGCAACCACAAAATTAATGAAACCACAAATTCAACCCCAATCGATCAATCCCCAAAAGAAAAAATTAAGTATGATAGTACCTCAACATTCCATTATTCCGCATACAGAAACATATATTGTTGTTCCGAATATCATAATAGTCAAGAAAATTCTGGTCGTTCCTCAGTAGCTCAAGAAATTTTAAGTCATTCCCCAACACAATTTCTTGAAAAACACCATGCCCCAAAGGAACCATCTCAACCAGAAAATGTATTTCCATATTCACCATTCGACAGTACCAGAGAAAGAATGGATAAAGAAAAATTAGAAAAAGAAAATTTGGAAATTTTAAAAAGAGAACAACAAAAAGAAAAGGAATATATGGAACAATTAAAAAGAGAAAACCAAGAAAGAGAACGTATTGAAAAATTAGAAAAAGAAAGAAAAGAAAGAGAACATAAAGAATCTTTGGAAAGACAAAGATTAATAAAAGAAAGACTAGAAAAAGAAATTATAGAAGCAAAGGAAAAAAAAAGAATAGAAAGAGAAAAAAAAGAAAAAGAAAAAAAAGAAAGAGAACAAAAAAAAAGAGAAGAAATAGAAAGAAAGCAAAAAGAAAGAGAAGAAATAGAAAGAAAACAAAGAGAAAGAGAAGAATTAGAGCGTATCCAAATAGTATATAAAGAAACTTTAGAAAGAATAATGGAAAGGGTACGCTTAGAAAATTTAGAAAGACAAGAAAGAGAAGAAAGAGAAAAAGAACAGCAAAGAGAACAACATGAAAGAGAAGAAAGAGAAAAACAAGAAAGAGAACAACAACAAAGAGAACAACAAGAAAGAGAAGAAGCAGAATGTAGAGAAAACGAAGATCCTTGCACTATTTGCATCGAAAGAATTGAACCAAGCCAACTTGCAGTAATCGATTGTAACCACATGTTTTGTTACGATTGTATTATGGAAATGTCTTATCGCCGTAATAACACATGCCCAAATTGTAGAGCTCCATTCTATTTAGTAAGAGTAAGTAATTCATTTATTCATATTTATACATAATAAATAAAACATATATATTAATTTAATTTATTATTTAATTGTAGAGAGTCAATGGTTCAACTAACGAAGCCAATATTGAGCAAGGAGATCAAAGTCCACCAAATTTAAATAATGATGATGCAAATTCCAACGAATCCAATATCGATTTGGAATTGTTTGACCAAATTGATATCGAATAGATTTCCATTGCTGTTTCAAATGGTAATTATTAGATTTCATGAATAGGTATCAAGAATTAGATGGCCACGAATTCTATGATTACTTGGACATAAATCAATAATATACCACCCATATGGAAACGTATTAATTAATAAATCAAAAAAGGTTAAACAGAAAACATCATCATTGGACAACATTCTCATCGTAATCGAAATTATTAGTATTAAACAATTCATCGCTTCAACTCTAAAAAATAACGTTTAAAAAGTTCTCAGGGTTCCATTAACAAGTTCACATCATATTGTAACTATAATATTAATATTTACTAAAATATAATTAAATTTGAATATAAATGAAATTAATATTTAATTTTAATTTTAATTTTTATAGAGTATAATCATAATCCTTTCTCTCTCGGAATTATCAGGTTCTTTCTCTCCAGTATAGCAATGTCTTTCTTTAATGTCAATAATAGGGCATTAATATTATTAAGGTAACGATCGTGTTTATATTACATAATTATTACATTTAAATATAAAAGAAACTAATATTTAATTTTAATTCTTATATAGTTTATAATTCTTTCTCTCACAGTATTATCAAGTTCTTTCTATAATGTCAATTCTAGGGCATTTATTTTATTAAGGTAGCTATAGTGTTTATAATTACATAATTATTACATTTAAATATAAAAGTAACTAATATTTAATTTTAATTCTTATATAGTTTATAATTCTTTCTTTCACAGTTTATTTATAATTCTTTCTCTCCTGGGAATTATCAGGTTTTTTCTCTTCAGTACAACCATGTTCTATCTTTAATTTCAATAATAGGGCATTTATATAATTAAGGTAACTATAGTGTTAATAATTACATAAATTAAATTTGATTATAAGATAATCTAATATTTAATTTATATTTAGTTTAATTAATTCTCTCTCAAGCTTCACACTTTCTATCTAAGTCTACATTGGGATATTCATATTATTAAGGTAACTATAATGTTAATATTTACATAATTATTATTATCATTAAATTTGTATATAAAAGAAACTAATATTTAATTTTAATACTTATTTAGTTCAGATTCAATTCTTTCTTTCTCAGTTTCAAACGTTATTTATATCGCGGTTCAGTATTTTCTTTATAATTTTGGTTTTCAAGCAATTCATCAAACACTCGGTTTTTTTCAGGTCACTCATCAAACATTTGGGGTTCAATATCTTCTTTTTAATTGGGTTTTCAAATCATCATACATTGCGATTTTCAAGTCATTCATCAAACATTGGGGGTTCCATATATTCCATTATATCGCGGTTCATTATTTTCTTTATAATTGTGGTTTTCAAGTAATTAATCAAACACTGGGGTTTTTCAATAAACATTTGGGTTGTTTTTCAAATCTTTCATCATACATTGTGGGTTTATCAAGATATTCAAACGCTGTGGTTTTTAATTCGCCAAACATTGTGGGTTTTTTTTATTCATCAAACGCTGTGGTTTTTTCAAATCATTAATCTTACATTGGGGTTTATTTTATTTCAACACATAATAATAACGATAATGATAATAATAAAAATGATAATAATATAAATAATAATCATAAATTTTATTAATCAATAATCCATGACCTTGATCATTCTGCCTTCCAAATCTAAATCCAAGTTAATCAATTTGAAAAAAACGAAATTTCAATTCTAAAATCTATTTACTCTGAATTAATTGCATTCTTTCCTATAAAGTTTATTTTCAACAATGGGTTAATTCTATCATCATTTATCAATTACGTCAGTTTTATTAAGTATAAATTAATGTCATTTGGTCACAGATCCAGGTCCACCTTCATCATCAATTTTATCATTTATTATTATTATATAGAATTAAAAATTCTCCATCCCTAGTTAATTTTCTATTCATTATCAAAATAAAGATCTTTAATTTAAAAGCTTATTTAAATTTTTTATAAAATAAATTTTTATTGTTTTTTATTATTTAAAAACCAAGGTAAATTTTTTCCATCTTGTGAATAAATTGACTTAAAGTTGCTGTTATTGTGGTGATAATTGTATAAAATAAAAGTCAAATATTGTAATTTATAATCATTATTATTATTTCTATTATTTATATAAAATTATATATATTTAAAACTCTAAAGCATTTTAATATGACCTTTAGTTTGAAACTAATCTCTAGTGCAATACTATCACCCTGATACCACGATTGACTCTGATACTAATCCACTACCACTGCTACTGTAATTACTATCAAACCTACTATTAAAATTACTATTGTTATTGAAATATGCTGTTACTTTGATCGCTATAATTAATAAGTTTGCAAACAGATTTCTAACTCTTTAATATAACCTTTGGGACTTTTGATTTCGATTTCTGCTTTTGCTAAGAGAATTTTAAGCGGCACTTCTTTCTTTATTGATTTTAGCCTTATTCTTAATGTTTATAGATCTACTACCAAATATGAGTATGGAAACTGTTTCGGCTTTGTTGTAGCTTGAAGGTGAGGAATTTATAGTGAGTCAATGAATTGATTACATTACTCAATGATAACAATGATTTATTATTCATTTTAACTTTGTCTAAAATTATACCTTGTACCCATGTTTTTGAAATCTTTTCTAGATAAACCTGTATTGAAGGATCCTTTTTTTTAAATTTTTTGGTTGAATATATAAAAGTAATTATTATTATTATAAAAGTACATTTAAAAAATGATGATAAATTAAATAAAATTCAAAATTAATTTTTTATATTTATAAATTTTTTTTTTTTTTTATTTTTTATTTTTTTTAAAAAATTTTAGGATAAATTTATTATTTTTTATATATAGATATATATAAAAATAAAATTTTTATAATAATATTGAAATTATTAAAAATACTAATAGAGATAAAGAAATTGAAATTTTAAGAGAACCATTACCAGCTGGTGATTCTGTTGGATTGTTAGATGCGGTTTCTGTTGGTTTTGGTGTAGGAGATGGCGATAATGATTGTGTTGGTTTGGGTGTGGTAGTTTCATTAGGTGTTTCTGTTATTGTGGGTGTTTCTGATGGTGTTGATGTAGTGATATTTTTAATGTTGCTACATAATACACTGAAGCCAGATTCACCAATTTTGATAAAATCATTGGATGGGACTAAACATGTAAAGGTATCCATATACCCCCTTTTATCATTACATTCATTAAATTGGGAAAAATAAAATGGATATCGATTAAATAAATATTTGGAATATATTCTAATGTAACCTTGGCAACCACGTTTGCATTCAGATAATTCTACTATTGAATAGTCACCCTCTTCATGGGTTCTACAAAACTCTGGGTCTCCATCTTTTTTAATATGAAAATACTTATATTTAAAGCTTTCTTCTTGAGACTTGACAGTAATTATTGAAATACAAATTAAAATTAAAAAACTATATATAAATTTCATTTTTTAAAAACTATAAAGTATAATATTAATTAATGAAGGTTTAGATGAATAATAAAACTTTTTTTTTTTTTTTTTTATTTTATAATTTTTTTAACAGGTTTGTTTTTAAATATTAATAGAACTATAGGTCTATTCAGATCATTCAAAGAAATATTATACTAAATTTAACACCAATGTTTTATTTTCTTTTTTAAAAGTTTTTTAATACAGTGTTTTTTTTTTTTTTGGGGGGGTTTGAAACTTTTGTAAAATCAATCATTTTCTAATAGTTTTTAAAGTTCATATTATTAGTATATTACAAATTTAGGTGCAAAGAATGTTTTTCATTTATTATTATTAGAAGAATCAAGTGGTAAAATGAACAGAATTTCAAGCAGGTTTATAAATTTAATTGATACATCTTAAAACCTGCTTGAAATGCTGTATATTTACGACTTGATTATTTTTTAAATAATTTATAAACTAAGAGTTCCATTTGTTTTAAAGAAATGACTGCATATTTCAATGAATGGATGCAAGATATTATTGAAGAATTTAGAGAATATATAAAATCATACGTGGACGATATTATTATTTGTTCAAAGACATTAGATGAATATATAATAAACATTAGAAATAATATTTTTAAATAAAATATTTTTAATTTAATTTAATTTTATATATATTTATATTTTATTTTTTTATTTAAATGAAAAATTAATTTAATATATTTATATTATTTTATAAATAGGTATGGTATGATATAAATGTGTGTATAAACTAACTTTTTGATTGTGCAAATCTTAAATGATATTCAGAAGGTAATGCAAAACTTTTTGAAGTAATTATTACTACCCAAAGAATCCATGAAATTGTAAAACTAATAAATTCAAACTGTTTTGAAGTTGAATTGTTGAATTAAAGGTATCATTCTTTTCATTGGCTCTATAATCATAATATATGAATGTAACCATACTTTCTTTAGCATTGAATAATTTCTAGTGTTTAGTAAACATTTTATTTGATTCTCTATTATAGTACATTCAATAAATGATGATAAATTTAATAAAAAAAAAATTTCAAAATTAATTTTTTTTATTTATTTTTAATTTTTTTTCTAAAAATAATTCTGCAACACCATAAACATTATTTTATTATAAACAAAATAAAAATAATACACCCACTTGAATTGGTATGTGATATAATGTGAAATATTTTTTATTTTTTTTTTTATTAAAATCTAAAATAAAAATGAAAACAAACATAATTTTTTTCTTTTCTTTTTTTTTTCATTTTCTTAAAAAATAAATTATAAAATAATAAAAGTTATTATATCAATTTTTTAATCTTATTTGTTGTACACTAGAAATAATTTATTCTTATGTAAATCGAATAATTATTAATTTAAATATACATACATCGTATAATGATAAAAAATCAATTAATTTTTTTTTTTTTTTTTTAAAAAATCATTTTTAAAATGAAATAGTTAGTATAATGTTTTGGATATCATTTAAAAGAAAATTAAATAAAAAATCGAAATAAAATTAAAAAAAAGATCAATAATCAGTATAAAAAAAAGATATAAACTAAATTATTACTTTATAATTATTTTTTTTATTTTTTTCAATATATTATAAAAAAAATTAGAATTTTCAAAACAGTTCTTTCTTTTTAAAAATTTTTTTTTTGTATTTATTTGAATTTTTTTTTTTTAATTTTTAAATTTCATTACTGAAACAAATTATTACAATCATAATAAAATAAAATGTTTTCATTAATGGATTTAGTTTTCTATTTTTTTGCAGTTCTAGTTATTTTTTACTGTATATTTTCAACCAATAATAATTTTAATGATCAAATGAACCAACAAACTCAACAACAAACCCAACAACAAACCCAACAACAAACCCAACAACAAACTCAACAAACCCAACAACAAACTCAACAAACCCAACAACAAACCCAACAAACCCAACAACAAACCCAACAACAAACCCAACAACAACACCCACAACACACCCCAACAACCCATTACAGTTTAGTTGAAAATATAGATCAGATAATTCAACAACAACAACAACAACAACAAAAACAAAAACAACATCAACATCATCAACAACAACCACAAATCACTCCAACGACCTATTCTAATTTTGATGAGGGAATAGATAAACAAAACCAACAACAACAACAACAACAACAACATCAGCACCAATATCAACATCATCATCAGGATCATCAGCATCAACATAATCATAAAAAAAGAGCATATGCCATGGACACAAAACAAGATATTGAAAGAAGAGTAAAACAAAAGGTCCATGAGGCTTGGAATATGATTGATGAAATAGAAACAAAAAGATTTAGAACAGATTATAATGGTCCAACTCTTTTATTGACAAATTTCAGCGAAAGTGAACAAATGATAAAAAATAAAAGAGAAAAAGATGAAAAGAGACGAAGAGAAAAGGAAAGAAAAAGACAAAAACAAATTGAAAAGAGAAGAAAAGAAAAAGAAAGGAAAAGACAAAAAGAAATGGAAAAAGAAAATAGAAAAAAGAGAAAAGAAAGGGATAAAGAAGGAGATGGAAGAGATAAAAAAAAGAAAATTAAATTTTCGCAAAATAAAGATCAATGATGGATGAAGAGTGTAATTATTCATACATTGGGTGTTCCATATATTCCATTAAATCGAGGTTCAGTATTTTCTTTATAATTGTGCTTTTCAAGTAATTCATTAAACACTGGAGTTTTTTTTCAGGTCACCATCAAACATTTGGGGTTCAATATCTTCTTTTTAATCGAGGTTTTCAAGACATTCATCAAAAATTTGGGATTCAGTATTTTCTTTTTAATCGGTGTTTTCAAGTCAATAGTAATACATTGGGGTTTTCAAGTCATTCATCAAACATTGAGGTTCAGTATATTCTTTTTAATTGGGGTTTTCAAGTCATTCATCATACATTTGGGTTGTTTTTCAAATCTTTCATCATACATTGTGGGTTTATTAAGTTATTCAAACGCTGTGGTTTTTTCAAATCGTTCATCATACATTGTGGGTTGTTTTTTCAAATCTTTCATCATGCATTGTGGGTTTATTAAGTTATTCAAACGCTGTGGTTTTTAGTTCGTCAAACATTGTGGGTTTTTACTTCATCAAACATTGTGGGTTTTTTTAATTCATTAAACACTGTGGGTTTTCAAGTCATTCAAACATTGTGGGTTTTCAAGTCATTCATTAAACATTAGGGTTGTTTTTCAAATCGTTCATCATTCATTGGGTTTAGTTTATTCTTTTTTAAATTGGGTTTTTTACGTCATTTATCAAGCATTGGGTTTTTTCAAGTCACCTATTATTTATTGGGGTTTACTTAATTCTGGTTTTCAGGTCATTCATCATTCATTGGGGTACTTTTACTTTAAAGGTATTTATAAAGTTAATATTTTTATAAATGTTATTATTATTTTTGAATATAAAAGAAACTAATATTTAATTTTAAAACTTAAAAAGATTTGAATACTTTCTATTTCAACACATAATAATATAAATATAAATAATAATATAACGAAAATGATAATAATGAAAATAAAAATGATAATAATATCAATAATAATCACTTTCAAATAACGATTATAATAATAAAACAAAAAACAAAAATAATGGATAAGAATATATTATAAATAATAATGCAAAATTCGATCCAGACAAGGAAAAAGATAATAGAGTAAATAATATTAATATGGAATAATAATCATCAAAACAATCATGTCATATAAAAATAAGAAAAGTAATGCATCCAACTCTATTCATTCATCAATTCTTTATGCCTTCCAAATCTAAATCCAGTTTAATCAATTTTAAAAAAATCGAAATTTCAATTCTAAAATCTATTTACTCTGAATTAATTGCATTCTTTCCTATAAAGTTTATTTTCAACAATGGGTTTATTCTATCATCATTTATCAATTAAATACCATCAACAAAAACAATTAACACTTTCATCCGTTTTATTAAGTACAAATTAATGTCATTTGGTCACAGATCCGGGTCAACCTTCATCATCAATTTTATCATTTATTATTATTATATAGAATAAAAAATTCTCCATCCCTAGTTAATTTCTATTCATTATCAAAATAAAGATCTATAATTTTAAAAAAATAATTATATTTTAATAAAAAAAAAAAAAAATTCAAAATTAATTTTTTTATTTTTTTATTTATTTTTTTATTTTCTAAAAATAACACTGCACAATTGTTTTATATAATGTTATACTAATTAAAAATAAAATACAATCACTAAACTACTACACATAGACGTATCACCATTAAATAAAGCATACCAACAATGAAGCAGTTTTAAAAGATAAAGAATGTCAAATATTTAGCTTTTCAATATACATATATATTCTCAAACATTAGCAAAGACACGCCATCAAACCAATTGATTTATGAACAGTATTCAAGAAAGATTAAATATTGTAAAGTATGCAATTACGATATCAAATATTTTGGTATTGAGGATTTTAAAACCCGATAAAAGAATGTTTGTGCAACACTTTTAAGATCAGCAAATTCTAAAGTATCAAATATTTAGAATCGATTGGTGTCAAATTAAATATAATATATTATCATCAGAATCAAATCAAAACAACAAAAGTTCAATAAAAGTCAATTTCACACAAAATACAATCACATGGAGTGGTAACATATATCTATATTATACCACAGAAAAAGAATGTTCATCTAAATACCATGAACATGGAATATGCGATAAAACAACAGGTACATGCAAATGTAATTCAGAATACACAGGTTTCGATTGTTCATCACCAATTAATAACAATAATAATAATAATCAAGCAGAAACAGAAACAGAAACCAATAACAATGGAACAGTTATAATTAAAAATCAATTTATAGGATATTCAATATCGATTCAATTATAGAATTAGACATTAACAATCAACAAATAGCAATATTCAATTTATCAAACAACTAGATATTTGCAAATAAGCAAGAATCAGTCACCACATTCAATCAAATAAGAATTAAAGAAGACAATACTATTGCAATAATAAAATTAATAATAGAAAAAGTAAACGATAAAGATAAAGGTTTCACATTTGCAGGTAATCAATTCACAGTTACAAAAGGAGGATTCAAATTATCATTATCAATTTCAAACTGGTTATTCAAAAGCAATATCAATACATTCCAAGTACAAATGACATCAGACATACAGGTTGACTCATCAAACAGCAACAATAAATGTAATAGAGATGATAATGAGGCAACTATCGAATCTTCATCAAATAATAACTATTTATTGAATAATATAAACTATTTAAAAGTTATTAAAAACAAAAGAATACTTTATGCAGGATTCCAACAATATCGAGAAATCAATAATCCATCATCTTATAATATGGCAATCGAAATACTCAAATCAAATAATTTTAAAATTACACCCTTTTACAACCCATCTCAAAACCTCTACTAATACTCAACAACAGCATAGTTCAGAGGAGAGAAATCAAAATAAAAAAAGATTTGATGTTTGGTCATTTATGTTCCTTAGCTCATTATTAAAGTTATTACCTCCACATTTAATTTTAAGTTCATTAGACTTATTCATTCAAAACAGTAGTAATCAACAACTAACTTTACAGATGATCGTAAGAGATTGGTAATTAATTTAGTTTCATTTAAAGGTGGATCCAATGCATTATCAACAAAAGCCGGTGCCGATTGATTCCAAAAAGAAAAGAAATATTAAGAGGGCGGTTTCGACCTCGATGATATTGCCGAAAGAGAATTATTAGCTACTAAAACCATTGAAGATGTCGCCAATTCTTAATTGGCTGCAAAGTCAAAGAGATAAAGAAAGAAGATGCTCCTGATGTCACGGAAACTATTCTTGAAGCCGCTTTGGCAACTACTAGTGCTACATCAACTTTGGTCGGTGCTGCAACATTGTCTCAAAGAGAACGTGTCAAAAAAGGTAGAACTAGTGATGGTGGTCAAATGTATATAATTAATTTCTACTGCTAAAGCTGTTGCTGCCGCAACCAAAGCATTGGTAGATAAAAAATAATATAAAGTAAATATGTAAAATCTGATTTAAAACATAAAAGAAACTCAATTTAATACAAAGTTATTTAAAATCATAAATAAAATTTTAGCCTTATTTTTAAATAAAGTATTTCTTTTTTTAATCTAAAATTATTAATTTGCTTAAAAACAAATAAAATTTTTTATTTCTTTTATTTTAAAAAAGATAATTTTATTTATTTATTTCCACCGTTTTTTTTAATTTTAATATCTTTTGTGGAACTGATTCCTATTGATATAGCACGAATTTGACTATTCCATTCAACGAGAAGAGGACATGAATCAATTGTATAAATCTTGATTTGAATTATCTTTCCAAAATCTGAGATTTTCACCTTTCTTAAGATTTCGAAAAAATTTACTATGAAGCTATAGTTTTCTTGATCTGCTTTTTTTATTTTCCAAAGGGGTAATGGTGGAATCTGGGCCTGGTTTGATACCTAATAAACTTGCTCTTTCTGAATACAAAATTGAAAATTCTGTCATAATAATAATATTTTGGTTTCTCTTCTGGTGGTGCCATATCATTAACAAAAAAGAGTCTTCCCATCCAAGTCATTAACACTTATATTTGTTTCTCCATTTTGAAAAAAAAATATTTTATTATTCCTATTATTATTACTATTATTGTATGTTGTTATTTATATTATAGCACATTCAATAAATGATGATAAATTTAATAATAAAAAAAAAATAAAAAATAAAAATTTCAAAATTAATTTTTTTTTTTTCTAAAAATAATTTTGCACCACCATAAACATTATTTTATTATAAACAACTAAATTCTAAATTTATATAAATAAAAATAATTAAAAAATTAAAAAAAAAAAATTTATTTATTATAATGTGCTTTATTTATACCTGCCTATAAACACACCTCCTCGATAATAAAATGACAATAAAAATAAAAAGCAATCAATAATATATTAAATAATAATATAGGTATTCATTTTTAATAACTAAATTCCAAAATCAAAAGAAAAGGTAGAATTTAAAACACTTTATTCTATAGAACTAGATTACATCAATATTAGATTTTATAATATTTTTTTTTCTTTCTTATTTTTTTTTTTTAATTCATAAATAACTTAAAAAAAACTAAATAAAATTATTATTTTTTTTTACCACATTTATAGATTAAAAAATCACCTTCTCTATCAAATAATAATATAAACAATGATTAACAGTTAATTAATTTATCACCTATACAAAATACTCCAGGACTTGTTTAAATACACCATTCGAGAATTACAGGTCTATATGAATAATTTAAAAGCTCCCCCAAGGGAATTATAAAAAATATTTTATAAAAAAAATAAAAATTTTATTCAAATATTAATTTTATTATTATATCAATTTTTTAATTTAATTTGTTTTGTTATTTTATTTGTTGTACACTAGAAATAATTTATTTATATTTATATTTTTTTCTTTATAAAATAACCCTATATAATAATTAAATAAATGGAATAATTTAAATTCAGTTGTATGCATCATAAAATGATAAAAAATCAATTAATAAATTTTTTTTTTTTTTTTTTTTTTTAAAAATCATTTTTAAAATGAAATAGTTAGTATAATGTTTTGGATATCATTTAAAAGAAAATTAAATAAAAAATCGAAATAAAATAAAAAAAATGATCAATAATCAGTATAAAAAAAAGATATAAACTAAATTATTACTTTATAATTATTTTTTTTATTTTTTTCAATATATTATAAAAAAAATTAGAATTTTCAAAACAGTTCTTTCTTTTTATAAAATTTTTTTTTGTATTTATTTGAATTTTTTTTTTTTTAATTTTTAAATTTCATTACTTAAACAAATTATTACAATCATAATAAAATAAAATGTTTTCATTAATAGATTTAATTTTCTATTTTTTTGCAGTAATAGTTATTCTATACTGCAAATTTTCAACCAATAATAATGACCAACAAACCCAACAAACCCAACCACAACAAACCCAACAACAAACCCAACAACAAACAATTATCAAATTATTCAAATAAAAAATTAATAATATAAAAAATAAATTAATATAAATCTATAAAAAAAAATATTTATTTTTTCTTTATTCTTTTTTTTCTTTTTTACAATATATAGTTCATTATCAACATCAATATCAACATCAGCATCAACATCAACATCATCAACTACAACTACAATATACACCACACCCACACTCACAACCACAAATTCTTCCAACAACATATTCTAATTTTGATGAGGAATTAGATCAAAAAAACAAACAACAACAAAATCATCATCAACACCAATATCAACATCATCATCAGGATCAGCATCAGCATCAAATTAATCATAAAAAAAGAGAAAAAAGCCATGGAAACAAAACAAGAAATAGAAAGAAGAGTAAAACAAAAGGTCCATGAGGCTTGGAATGAGTTTGATGAAATAGCAAAAAAAAGAAATCAAACTGATAATAATGGTCCAACTCTTTTATTAACAAATTATAGCCAAAATGAACAAATGATAAAAAATAAAAGAGAAAAAGATGAAAAGAGACGAAAAGAAAAGAAAAGAAAAAGAAAAAAAGAAATTGAAAAGAGAAGAAAAGAAAAAGAAAGGAAAAAACAAAAAGAAATGGAAAAAGAAAATAGAAAAAAGAGAAAAGAAAGGGATAAAGAAGGAGATGGAAGAGATAAAAAAAAGAAAATTAAATTTTCACAAAATGAAAATAAATAATTAATGAAAAACCAAAATACAAAGTTAGAGTTTAATTCATATTTGGTTTAATTCTTTCTCTTTCAAGCTTCACAAGTTCTCTTTAAGTCTACATGGGGATATTCATTATTTTAAGGGTAGTTATAATATTAATATTTATATTAAATTTGATTATAAAAGAAACCAATATCTAATTTTAATATTTATTTAGTCCAGATTCAATTCTTTCTTTTTCAGTTTCAATACGTTATTTATTTCGAGTAGTTATTCATACATTGGGAGTTCCATATGTTCCATTATATCGCGATTCAGTATTTTCTTTATAATTGTGTTTTTCAAGTAATTCATTTAGCACTGGGGTTTTTTTCAGGTCACTCATCAAGCATTTGGGGTTCAATTTCTTCTTTTTAATCTGCATTCATCAAACATTTGGGGTTCAGTATTTTCTTTTTAATAGGGGTTACCAAGTCATTCATCAAACATTGGGGGTTCGATATATTCTTTCTAATTGGAGTTTTCAAGTCATTCATCATACATTGGGGCTCAACTTATTCTTTTTAAATGTTGTTTTCGAGTCATTTATTAAATATTGGGGTTGTTTTTCAATTATTTCATCATACATTGCCGGTTTATTAAGTCATTCAAACGCTGTGGTTTTTTCAATCGTTCTTCATACATTGGGGTTGTTTTTCAAATCTTTCATCATATATTGTGGGTTTATTAAATCATTCAAACGCTGTGGTTTTTTCAAATCGTTCATCATACACTGGGGTTGTTTTTCAAATCTTTCATCTTACATTGTGGGTTTATAAAGTTATTCAAACGCTGTGGTTTTTAATTCGTCAATCATTGTGGGGTTTTAATTCATTAAACATTGTGTTTTTTAATTCATTAAACATTGTGGGTTTTCAAGTCATTCATTAAACATTAGGGTTGTTTTTCAAATCGTTCATCATTCATTGGGTTTAGTTTATTCTTTTTAAATTGGGTTTTTTACGTCATTTATCAAGCATTGGGTTTTTTCAAGTCACCTATTATTTATTGGGGTTTACTTAATTCTTATTAATTGTGGTTTTCAGGTCATTCATCATTCATTGGCTTATTTGTACTTTAAAGGTATTTATAATATTAATATTTATAATTGTTATTATTTTTGAATATAAAAGAAACTAATATTTAATTTTAAAACTTAAAAAGATTAGAATACTTTCTATTTAATAATTATAAATATAAATAATAATATTAATAATAACGATTATCATAATGATAATAATGAAAATAATGAAAATAAAAATGATAATAATATAAATAATAGTCATATTCAAATAACGATTATAATAATAAAACAAAAAACAAAAATAATGGATATAGATTATATTATAAATAATAATGCAAAATTCGATCTAGACAAGGAAAAAGATAATAGAGTAAATATTAATATGGAATTATAATCATCAAAATAATCATGTCATATAAAAATAAGAAAAGTAATCCATCCAACTCTATTCATTCATCAATTCTTTATGCCTTCCAAATCTAAATCCAAGTTAATCAATTTGAAAAAAATCGAAATTTCAATTCTAAAATCTATTTACTCTGAATTAATTGCATTCTTTTCTATAAAGTTTATTTCAACAATGGGTTTATTCTATCATCATTTATCAATTAAACACCATCAACAAAAACAATTAACACTTTCATCCGTTTTATTAAGTACAAATTAATGTCATTTGGTCACAGATCCGGGTCAACCTTCATCATCAATTTTATCATTTATTATTATTATATAGAATTAAAAATTCTCCGTCCCTAGTTAATTTTCTATTCATTATCAAAATAAAGATCTATAATTTTAAGCTTTTTTAAATTTTTTAATAAAATAAATTTTTATTGTTTTTTATTATTTAAAAACCATATGGTAAATTTTTTCCATCTTGTTTGAAATCTTTTCTAAATTAACCAAATATAATTAACCTGTATTGACGGATCCTATTTTTAAATTTTTTGGTTGAATATATAAAAGTGATGATAAATTTAATAAAAAAAAAAAAAATTCAAAATAATTTTTTTTATTTTTTTTTTTTTATTTTCTAAAAATAATTCTGCACCACCATAAACATTATTTTATTATAAACTAAATAAAAATAAAAATAAAATAACAATATTTATATTATAATATAATATCCTTCTTTAATGTATTTTAAGCTTAAAATACAAAGACACATCACTAAACAATTGTTTTATATAATGTTATACTAATTAAAAATAAAATACAATCACTAAACTACTACACATAGACGTATCACCATTAAATAAAGCATACCAACAGTGAAGCAGTTTTAAAAGATAAAGAATGTCAAATATTTAGCTTTTCAATGTACATATATTCCCAAACATTAGCAAAGACACACCATCAAACCAATTGATTTATTGACTGTCAAATATTTAGCATTGAAGATTTTAAAACCCTATAAAATAATGCTTGTACAACTAAAAAACACTTTTAAGATCAGCAAATTCTAAAGTATCAAATATTTAGAATCGATTGGTGTCAAAATACAATCACATGGAGTGGTAACATATATCCATATTATACCACAGAAAAAGAATGTTGATCTAAATACCATGAACATGGAATTTGCGATAAAACAACAGGTACATTTGCAAATGTAAATCAGAATACACAGGTTTCGATTGTTCATCACCAATTAATAACAATAATAATAATAATCAAGCAGAAACAAAAACAGAAACCAATAACAATGGAACAGTTATAATTAAAAATCAATTTATAGGATATTCAATATCGATTCAATTATAGAGATAGACTTTAACAATCAACAAATAACAATATTCAATTTATCAAACAACTAGATATTTGCAAATAAGCAAGAATCAGTCACCACATTCAATCAAATAAGAATTAATGAAGACAATACCAATGCAATAATAAAATTAATATTAGAAAAAGTAAACGATAAAGATAAAGGTTTCACATTTGCAGGTAATCAATTCACAGTTACAAAAGGAGGATTCAAATTATCATTATCAATTTCAAACTGGTTATTCAAAAGCAATATCAATACATCCCAAGTACAAATGACATCAGACATACTTTATGTAGGATTCCAACAATATCGAGAAATCAATAATCCATCATCTTATAATATGGCAATCGAAATACTCAAATCAAATAATTTTAAAATAACACCCATCTCAAAACCTCTAGTAATACTCAACAACAGCATAGTTCAGAGGAGAGAAATCAAAATAAAAAAAGATTTGATGTTTGGTCATTTATGTTCTTTAGCTCATTATTAAAGTTATTATCTCCACATTTAATTTTAAGCTCATTAGACTTATTCATTCAAAACAGTAGCAATCAACAACTAACTTTACAGATGATCAAATTAAAAGAATTGCATGTGAAATGAGTGATATTAGTTATGATTTGGTAGAAGGAATTAAAGTTTGTACCCTTGATGAAACAATATATACATATCTCTTAGATTCAGATTCAAAAGAGAAATATATTCAAGATAATAATAAATCTCCAGTTATGTGTATACCTCGTAAACCTCATGCAAATGGTCTTTTAAGCTTATGGTTGGAACCTTTTTAGAACGTATTCATCATTTTACAAACAATTATCAAATTATTCAAATAAAAAATTAATAATATAAAAAATAAATTAATATAAATCTATAAAAAAAAATATTTATTTTTTCTTTATTCTTTTTTTTCTTTTTTACAATATATAGTTCATTATTTAAATACGTTTTTTTAATTGAACAGAGTATTCAGGACAATTTAATACAAGTCCAAAAGTTCCCTCTTCACTAATTGGAACTGATGGGTTTGGATTGCAAAATTTATAGTTTCTAATAAGAGTAACGGTGGTGGTAAATAATACATAGTCAGCAAATGATTTTCCCAAACATTGACGTAATCCAAGTGAAAAGTGGTATGATGGTTTTTCTTTTGGGTTTAAAAATCTTTCTGGTATAAATTTTAAAGCATTTTCCCAATATTCATCAGATCTGTGAGTGGAATATAGATTTTGAATGATTTGTGTTCCTTTGGATATTTTATAACCCATTATTTCTACATCTTCTGATGTTTGGTGTGGTTCTGATAAAGGTGCTACAGAAAATAATCTATGGGCCTCTTTAATAGCTGCAACGGTGAATGGACACTTTAAATGATCTGATGTTGATATATCGTCACCTTTTAAATTGTGTGTAATTTCACTATAGATTTTTTCTTGAATTTCTGGATTGTTAATAAGTGCTGCTATTAAGAATGACAATGTATTTGAACTACTATCAGTACCTGCTAAAATTAAATTGGTTGATGAGTTAATTACACTTTCATATTTAATTTCACCCTCTTTATATTTTTCAAAATAGCATTCCATCATTGATTTCTTCCTTTGCTCACTTTCATCTGCATTTGTTTTGCTTAAATTGTTATATTCATCATAGTTCTTTTCATAATCATCAATTATGCTTTTAGAGTAGTCTGTTAAAACTTTAAAATCTTTGAATAGGCTGTTTCTGGTTAGATTGATTATATCTATTGGTAATAAAAATGGTACATAATCTGAGTATATAAACTGACCTGAAGATTGGAAAAATCGTGTGATTGATTCAATAAGTTGGCTTTTTGTTTCTAAATTTTCATGAGTACCAAAAACTAGCTTGAGCATTATGTTTAAAAGCATTTCTTTAATTGAAAATGTTATATTTGTAACAATTGAATCATCATCTTTATAAATTTGGGATATCATATTTTCCACCTGATATTGAATTTCAGGCTGATAGCTTTTTATCTTTCTAGTTGTCATTTCTGTTAAAACCACATTCTTTAAAGTGTGCCAATAATCCCCGTTTGTGTGAATGATATCTAAACCATTGTTTTGTTTTCTACTAGTTCGAACAAATCTTTCATGAAATTCCTTCTTTTTTTTTAAAAAACATTCTTCCAACATTTCATTTCCAGTTAATACAACAGTTTCTACATTTCCTAATCTAAGTCTATATATGGGTCCATATTGTTTGTATAGTTTATCAATACTATATGCCACATTATCAAGTCTAATTTGTAATAAATTACCAAATATTGGTATTTCTTGAGGACCAGGGATAAATCTATTGATTTTTTTCTTATTATCAATAAATAACAAATCCTGTAGTAGTAATAAAATTAGAATTTAAGTTTTTTTTTTATTTAATAAAGATTTATACCTTTAAGACTAAAATAGTTATAAACAATATAATTGTTAATATTATAGTATTTATTATTATACTCATTATATTTTAATATAGGAGGTTATATAAAATGATTAATTTTATTTTTTGTTTTATAAAATATTTTTATTTTTTATTTGATAATGAGAGAATATTAAATCTTAACTAACTAATAACCACAAAATTGTGTTTAAATATAAAAAAAGGGGTAAAATATTTAAAAAAATTAATTACTAATTTTATTTTTATAGCAATTAAATGAGAATATAACAGATAATCTGTAAAAAAAAAATAATTGTTAAATTGAAAAATTAATTTCAATATATAAAAAAAAAATACATACAATCTATAAAAATAAGAACTCTAAAGATCTTTTATTTATTAATTTTTATTAATTTAAGGTTTTATTTAATGATGATATATTTTCTATTAGTGAGTAGTATGTATAAGGAAATGCATCCTTTATAAAATTATTACTTTTTAATAGTTCTTCATTTAAAATTAAAATCTCTTTTAAATTATTATTATGGTTTATGTAAGGAGCTATTTCTAATATTGATCTGTTAAGGAATTCACATGAGTTTCTGAATAAATATGGATGAAAAGAATGGAATGTTGGAACAGTTTCATTAGAATCTTGGACATTGAGATCTTTTAGTTCTTTAATAGTGCTTATTTGGTGCGTTGTTATAATATTTAAAATTTTTGGTATAATGAAATTGACATTATTAATAATTAATTGGTTTATTGTATTATTTCCGTGTGCCAGTGTTTGATCTAAATAAATATTTGAAATTAAAAATATTATTTCTTGTTGAATTGAGCGATGATCTACTATATAAATATTATTACTGTTGCTATATTTATCTATTAAATTGTTTATAAAGCTGTGGTGTGTAAGTATTATGTTGTTGATTTGGTTTTGTTGGTTTGAATAATTTGAAAGATTTGATAAAAAATATAATGCCTCTTTTAATAACCTATTTTTATTATCCACAGAGCTATAAATTATTGATGCTATTAGTGATTCTAGTTTATTTGATTTTTGGAGTTCTCTTAAAATTGGTATAAATATTGTAGGTTTAACTACAACCAAGCCAAAAATTCTAATACATGGTACAACTAATAATGATAAACTACTATTACTACTATTAAATATATTTGTAAATAACTCTATTATTATTAAAAATATTGATAGGGTATTGCTTGTTAATTTTGTTTCATTTATTATATATTCGGTTGGGTATTGTTGATTAAAATTATCGAATTGAAATAAAATATCATTTAATAACCATAGTAAATAGTTTAAAACTTCAATTTGATAGTTGTTATTGGTTTTATCTATTCTTAGCTTTCTAAATAAAATTTGCTCATTTAATAGCTCAAATATTTTATTATCTTTGAATAAATCTAAATAACTTTGTTTTTTTGCTAAATTTTCTGATAGTATTGACGAAAGTGTAAAGCATGTTGTAATTGTAAGTGACGGGATTTTAGATGACAGCATCTCGATCATTGGAGGTAGTATACCTTGGTGTAATAAGACATCTCTTTGCTCCACTGAATCCAATGCAATATTACCCAGTGCCCATGCACATTGATCTTGTAATGTACTATTTCTTGTTGATAGATGATTAATTAATAGTGGTGTTGCCATTGATATTGATTCTGTATGCTCATGTTCACAACTTGCTATATTTGTAATACACCACGCTGCATCTAACTGGTTTTGATCGTTCAATGGGTCATTTAACATTTTTAATAAAAAAATTATAAATAAATTTTCTCGATTTTTTGTTTTATTTGAATCAGTCGCAGTGGCTGTTGTGGTTGTTGTAGCTGTTGTTTGTATAGGTTTACTATCATCTTTATAATTAACTAATAAATCAACTGCTATATTTGAGTTGTTTGAGGATAATAAGTTTCTTAATGCTATTAATATTTGCTTTCTTTGGTGTGGTGAAGCTTTTTTATGTTGGTTTAATAATCTCTTTTTAAAAATAAATTAGTAAATATTTAGTTTAAATCTATTTGACAAACTCTATGCATATAGTTTTAAAATACCTACAATTTTATTATATAGATCCTTTAATTCATTTTTTATAGAGTCGGGGGTAATGGTATTGTTTTGATTTAATGTTGATAGTTTCTGTCTTTTTTCTAAAATTAACTGGTTTTTTAATTTTTGTCTTTGAATATCTTGTTTTTCTTTTCTTTTCTCTTTAAATTCATCGTTGGTTGTAATCTTCCTAAACTCGTTGATTCTTTTATTTGGCGAAGATACCGATGATGGTGAAGATGACATTTGAAATTTTAAAAAAAAAAAAAAAAATTTTAAAAATTAAAAAAAAAAGAAATTTTTAAAAAATAAAAAAAAATTAAAAAAGGAAACACTAAATCTTTTTTTCATCTAAATTTAATTATTTAATTTAGATGATATTAATAATAAAATGAAAAAAAAAATAAAAAAAAAAATAAAAAAATAAATATAAAAATAAAAAAAACAATTTGGCGGCAACAAATTTTAACATTAAAAAGCTTTATTATAATATTATTTTAAATAGATTTTTATTTAGTTGTGAAAAAAAAATTTTATTCGAAGGGATATTTTCGAAAATACGGTTCTTAAATATTCCATTCGTTTTTCGGATAACATTTTTTTTTGGAAACCGATGCTGAGGGGTAAGGCAAAAATTTGTTTTTAGCAATTAATAGAAAAAACTGGCATTAAATATCATTGCTTTTGTTTTAGATCATCAAATTAGCATTTAAACTTTTATAAAATTATAATAAATATTATAAAATAAAAAAAAATAATAAAATTTTAATTTAATTTTAAAAAAAAAAAAAATTAAATTATTTATTATTTTTTTATCTATTTATTTCTTTAAAAAAAAAAAAAAATTTATTTATTTTTATATAAAAATATAAATAAATAAAAAATAT